TAGGTTTTCAATATCTATTAAAATTTTAATAAAATCTTTATCCTTTTATCTGCTAACATAGTAATATTAATAATTCCCTAATATCTTTGCATTTCTTGAATTGAAACCTAATTAGTCAGGACATTCCTTTAATATTTTGATGAATTTGATTTTCTGATAGTTTATTCTCTTATTTACTTAATTTATTTGTATCTATAGCCACAGTGTAATGGGTTTATTTTCTATTTACATACATATAAGTGTAAACATACATTTATATGTTATACGTTTCAAATGTACATAAAAGGAGTTTTAATGTATATCTTCCTCATATGTATTTCTATTATTTGTTTGAGGGTTGTATCATAGGAAGCTGGCTTTAATAATTTATCCTACTTTTTTGGGATTCATTGAGATTTTCTTTATGGCCTAGTGTATGATTACCTTTTATAAATGTTCCATAAGAATATTTATTAAATAAAGATTTCATTATCACTATGCAAGTATCCTATGTTCTCATTTGTTTTCTCTACTCAATATCCATTTCTCTGAAAGGATTTCTTTTTTAAAATTAGTATAGACTAATTATATGAAGAGGTTTTCATTGTGATATTTTTCATGTATGCATACAATGTACTTTGATCAAGTTCACCTCTCTATGACTCTTTCTTATGCCCTTCCCTCCTTTTTAAAAACAAATGTTAATGAGTATTTTATTTTCATACATGCATATGAAGTTCTTCAATTATATTCCCCCCTTCACCCTTTCTTTTCACCCTCCCCCCTCACTGGTTCCCAACCCCAAACAGTTTCCCTGTATTACACATTCAAGTCATTCCCCTTTTTTTTTTTTTTTTTTTGGTGGTACTGGGGTTTGAACTCAGGGCCTCACGTACTCTACCACTTGAGCCACTCCACCAGTCCTTTTTTGTGTTGAGTATTTTCAAGATAGGGTCTCTTGAACTATTTGCTTGGCTGGCCTTGAACCACAATCCTCATAATCTCTGCCTCCTGAGTAGCTAGGATTATAGGCATGAGTCACGGATGCCCAACTGAGTCATTCCTTTTTGTTTCTTTTTTAATTTTCCTACTATTATTTCATCACACATTCCTTACGTTTTATTTGTATATTTCACAGTTACTTTGATTAAGGTCTAAAGAATCTCAACCATTAAGTCTACTTGGGGAATTTTACTTTATATCAACATGATTCACTTGAGGAATATTTATTGTACCTCTACTGTGCACCAAGCACTCATCCACATTTTAGGGATTCAACAGTGAACTTAGCAGACAAAAATCCCAGCCCTTATGATGCCAGCATATAGTAGGGAGGGGAGGTAAAGAGGAGTTGTTGACATTCTGGAGTAGACGGAGCTGTTCATTCAGCCAACTGTGGCCAGTGGTCTATCAGTGGAGAGGAGGTGGGGTAGGGGGAGGTAAACATGAAGGACTCCTTCCTGCTGACAGCCCAGGGTCAATTCTCACGCCCGGGACTGTCCCCCTCCCTCCTCCGGAGGAGGTTCTGAAAGCTGCAGTTTCTGTAAGACAGACAGAGGACAGACTGGCTGGAGCCATTTGGGGAGACAGAAGTCCTCAGTTAACTTGGGGGAAGTCTCCACTGTGGGAACTCCATACAGCTGCCACTTGCTGTGACATGGTGCTTTGGTGGCACTAGCAAGCTCTGACAATTGTCGGCACATGGGTTATGCTATTGACCCTCCAGGGCTCCCTGCCTCCTCTCTCAGAGATTTTCTGCCTTTTTGGGCATGAGGACCCAACCTGATAGAAGTTGGGTTCCATACATTGTGACCCAGGAGAGAACCTGACTAGCATTGGAAGAAGCCATGCACTTCACATTGTCATGAAGTTACTGCCTAGCCTGTTTTTTGGGGGACAAGGAGTTCTCAGTCAAGAGCGTGAACACATAGTGGAGGAATAATGTTATAGCATTTTGAAGATAAGGAAAGTCACTAGCTAAAGACAAATGTTCATGATTAATCAGTAACTTTATTATTTTTGGTGATACTCGGGTTTGAATTCAGGGCCTCACTCTACCTCTGCTTCTAGCAATTCCTACAGCTCAAAGGCAACTAATTCTAGGGGCCTGGATCCCAGGCCCCAGTGAAAGCTCCAAGCCTCAGTGAGAGTCACAGAGGAGGGAGGAGACCTGGGAGTGTGAGGGTCTATGTACTTTAGGATAGAAGAGGGGCCTGCCAGCTGGGTCTCGAGACAGAGGCCTCTGGCTTTCTCCTGCAGGCCAAGGCCCCAAGCAGCAGTGTCCACAGCACAACTGTATTTCTTGCTCCTCTTATCCCCACAAAGCCACTGTACCCCCATCACCTTTTTTGGTGGTACTGGGGTTTGAACTCAGGGCTTTGCACTTGCTGGGCAGGTGCTCTATGGCTTGAGCCACACCTCCATTCCTCCCTTCCCCGCCCCACTGCCTTTTGAATCTCTTCAAAGACCTGCCTTTGTTGCAATCTTTCTTCTTAGATCTGACAAACTGTACAGATCTCAGGACTGGGAATCCAGGTCCTCTTCAAGGTGGCCCCTAGTCACCTTTCATCACATCTCTGAAACGGGGCTACCTGAACTGAGCCATGCCCCTCAGTGACCCCTTACTGCTCTGATTGCAGCTTCTGCATTGGCACGCAGACCACCCTCTGCCTGGGTGCCTCAGAGTTTGTATGATAGTGGAGTTTCTGCCCTTTCTACCTGGTTCAGAAATAATCATTGCCATTAACCATCCCTTACATGATGGGGGAGTTATGGGAAGCAGGGGAAATTTGTGGCTCAGACCCAACTCTGCTTAACCTCAGCTTTGCCCTTGCTGGCTGGGAAAGACAGTGCTTTGACTTTAATATCTCAGTTTCTTCTTTTATGAACTAGCAACAGTTAGAGGAGCTCCCTCTTGGGGCTGTTGTGGGAATTAAGGGTTACTGCATAGGGTGTACAATAGCCAGGATCCCACTGTCCAGGTGTCAGCTGTTACTGTTTTGCAGGTAGGCTACTTGACTCCTTGCTTGACTCTGAAAAGGGCTATGTTCTACCCCTACCCCTTAACAGAGAGTTGAATGACTTGCCCAAAGGTTGTGCGACTTGCCCAAAGGTTGTGCGACCACAGTGCTGCAGAAGTTGCTCTCCTTTGGCCCACACCCTCTGCTGCAGCCCCTAGCCCCACCCAAGTCTCAGTTATTCTGTGACCACCACAGCCCACAGGCCCCCATGCTTCTGCCTACCCCTTCTCAAGGCTGCCAGGCATTACCCTGTGCCATGTGGCTCTGAAGTCCCACAGCATGAATAAGAAGGCATTGAGCTCAGGTTCCATTAGGAAATGACTTCTGGCAGTATCCTAGGGACAAAGCCCAGGGGAAGCACCTCTGTGTCTTTTCCTCTTTTACATCCTCTGTGAAGGCACACGTTTGACTCCCTGTTAACCCTGCTGGTGGTGTGGCCAAGACATTAACCCTAGCTTGTATCCAGTGGGGTACAGGAAGAGGAAGCCCCCAGGGGAAAAAAATGAAGAGTTACTTTTTCCTACATGCCTTCTAACTCTCCCTAAGTGAAGACATTTTAAATTTTAAATGAAAGAATGTGTCAGTTGAGGTCTGTATTAAAGGCACTTTCTCTTAAAAATGAAGCTAATGGTCTTCTCATTTCCCTGGAAAATGCCTAAGACACAAAAAAGATAAAACTTGAAAGCAGCACCAGGAACCAAGACAGGCTGGGTATGGTGGTGCATACTTATAATCCCTGCACTCAGGAGGCTGAGGTAGGAGTTATGTTGAATTTGAGGCTAGCTGGGGCTATATAGTGAGTCCCTGTAGAAAGAAAGAAAAGAGAGAAAGAGAGAGAAGGAAAGAAAAAAAGGAAGGAAGAAAGGAAAGAAAGAATGGAAAGAAAAGAAGGAAGGAAGGAAGGAAGAAAGAAAGAAAAGGAAGGAAGAAAGAAAAAGAAAGAGATAGGGATAAGTAGACATAAAGAAGAAAAGAAAAAAGAAACCAAGAAAGTAACACAATAGCCAGCAACTACCTACAGCACCCACAGAACACACAGAACTGGGTGTGGACATAAGTAAGCAGTAGACAAACCCAGGTTTAGGGATATCCTATAGATTGAAAGCCCTCTTCCTACAAAAACTGTCAAGGCCACAAAGACTGGCAAGACTGAGGAGATGTTCCAGAAGGAAGAAGAGTAAAAAGACACGACAACAAAATGAAACTTCTGCTCCGGATAGGATCCCAACCAGAAAGGAAAAAGAGAATGTGGAGATGGCTGGTGGGATGGGATACAACTGTGTGTTGGGGGTGGCACAGGACCAATGCTGCGTTCCTGGTTTGAATGGTTTGTGATCGTGTAGAGAAGGCCTTGTTTAGGGGAAATAACCACTAGAGTAGATGGGGTGATGGGACGTAGTCTGCAGTATTCTTAGAAAAAGAAAAGTTCAGCTGGACACAGCGTACACCCCTGTAGTCACAACTACCGGGGCGGCTGAGGCAGGAGGATCACTTGAGTTCAGAAGTTCAGGTCCAGCCTGGGCAACCTAGAATACCCTGTCCCCCTCTCCCAGGAAAAAGGTTCAAATAGTCTGGGAAAAGAGTAATATATGGGCGAAACAAGGAGCTGGAACAAATATGAGAAAAAACTAACAAGGAGAGAATGTCACTTAAAGGGAATTCCGGAGCTCTGGAGTTGCAACTTTTTATTTATTTAAAAATAAAATTTAGAAAGGCGTGTATTCATCATTTTTTCTGTGTTAAACGTATATCCGGGATATATGTGTATACAAGTGCATGCCTATATCCAGAGGCTCAGGCCCCGACTCGGACAGATTAAATCAGTACCCCAGCACGTGGGTTTAAAACAGTAACGACAAACCCAGTGATTGCATCCTGCGGGCAGGTGGCTGCGGGCAGGTGGCTGCGGACAGGTGGTCGGGCCCCGCCCCCTCCCGGGCCTCGTGCGGACCCAGGTGCGGCAGGTAAAAGGCCGCGTGTCGCCCACCTTCCCGCGTCACCATGGACGCTGCGCCCGAGTCTCCGGAGCCCGGGCCCGCGCTGCCGGTCCTCCTGGTGGCTCCGCAGGCCGAGGTGCTGGAGGAGGTGCTGCGGGAGCAGTTCGGGCCGCTGCCCCAGGTGGCTGCCATCTGCCGGCTCAAGCGGCTGACCTCGGGCGGCTACTCGTCCACGGAGGACCTGCACTTGGTGCTGGAGCGGCGGCGCGTGGCCAACGCCAAGGAGCGCGAGCGGGTGAGGGGTCCCCAGGGCCACCCGGCACGGCCGGCAACTCCCCCACTCGTGGGCACCACCAAACACCTGGTCGCTCCCCGGCGCACCCGCGGGCCCCTAGGCGACTTCGAACTCCTGAAGCCTGCTGGGGTCCCCAGCTTGTGGGAGAACGACAGTGGCCTTGTTACTTACTCTCCACATGCGTCCAGCTGCTCGTTCACGGTCTCTGGGATAGCCGTGTCATGTCTGGCGCTCCAGACTTGCGCAGGAACCAAGCTTAGGAGCCGGCAGAGCGAGCCTCTGACAACTTCAAGAATGTCCCCCCCTCCGCAGGTGTTTTAAAAGCTTAGCGCTCAAAGTTGCGCGGCAGTCTCGCAGGCGCAGGTTGAATGCTTGGGTGCAAAGGGGTCCCTGCTCCTTTTCCCTGCCCTCTGCATCTTCTCCTTAAAGCAAATCCAGGCTGATGGAGCCCAATGGTAGCTGCTTAAAAAAAAAAAAAAAAAAAAAAAAAGGAAACACAATGTCCTAGTGTGTGCCCAGACTCCCACTCAACCCGTCAGGAGAAAGTGACTTTCCCAGTCACACTGGGTTGCAGTAATTCACCAACGCCAGTGGTCGTGTGCGGCATCTACTGGCAGCTTTTAGTATCTTTAAGAAAATTTGGCCCCAAATTTGTCAGGTCTGGTCTCCTTTCCGTCTTTTGTATGCTGTAGGTTCCTAAACAGGGAGGGGTGAGACTGGGAGAAGGAGCAGAGCACACCTGTGTACCCAACACTCAGAGAAGTAAGTTCTGCCGCAGGTGTTCCTAAACACCCGGCCCGGCTTCGGTAAATGGACTGGGAGTTTTGTGAGGGAAAGGACCAAAAATGGCAGAAGACTAAAGAGAAGTTGGGGAAATTGCAAGAGTAGAGACTAGATCCTTTATAATAACAGTCGTGTGATCTGATTCAGTGGTCCTGAAATGAGATTTAATCCAATATGTTAAATGGTCTTTCCCACCAGGAATGAATTGCCTTCTGTAGAGAATCGGTCCTGATGAACTTTTTTGTTCTTTATAATAAAATTAATACACCCAGAATACAGAAAAACAGAAGAGGGAGGAAACTCGGTCACTCAGAACACAGATCACTGTGGTTATACACCTTTGTATATGTCCCCTCCGTCTTTTTTCCTAGTGTGGATGCCACGTATATAATTCTACAAAATTGTGATTATCCAGAATATATCTTTGTAATTTTTTCACCTAACACTACCAAAGATGTTTCCTTATTTTCTTAAGCATTCTTTCACAGAATGACTTTTGACTGCAAGTCTGTCATGTAAATGGATCTAACCTGGTATACCTCCTATCACTGGGCATATGTGATTTTGTAGCTTTTTACTGTATATGAATTTATGTGCATGTCTGATAATTACCTTAGAATAGAATTAAAATGCTAGAAGTAGAATTACTGTGACACAGGACATTTACAATATGACTTTTTTTTTTGAGGTAATGGGAATTGAACTTAGGGCCTTGAGTTTACTAGACAAGCTCTAGATCACTTGAGCCAAACCCCAGTCCTTTATGCTCTTTAATTTTTAAATTTTTAATTGTTTTTTCAGATAGGGTCTCACATTTTTAGACTGCCATCCTCCTATCTCCACTTCCCAAGTACCTTGGATTACAGGCATGAGCCATCATGCCCATTCAGGCTCATGACTTAATGCAAGTTGTCTATTTTCCAGAAAGGTTTCTAAGTTTTATCCCCATTACAGAGTACAGGATTGTTCTCTTTTTCATGCTGTTCCTGATGCTGGGTATGATAATCAGTGATAAAAATGGTCCCAGCCTATTACATGAAAAATGGTATCTAATTTTAGTTTGCAGTTTGACTATTGAAGTCAAGTCTTTTCATATTTGCTGGTCATTGAATTTTACTGTGCATTAGCTATGTCCCTTGTCTTTGGTTCAGGGTAGGAGAAAGATCTCCATATAACTGAGTATATTGATTTTTATGGTGTAATGGGAGCTAGCTCTCCCAGGGCCTGAGTCCTCTAGAGGGATTAGCATTAGAATTCAAGCCTTCAGCAGCAAGGTTGGGGAAAAGAAACACAAGGAGTCTTTGAAGTCTCAGTCTTGTTCTGTAGCATTAACTCACTGGGAAAGAGGCTGATGAGTGGAGGGCACTGTGCTTCAGTGGCAGGTGTTTGTACATATTATTCATCAACAGTCCTGCTTATCGGGGACTTTGTATCTGATCTGGGTGTGACGTTTTATGTATACATTATGTTCCATAATCACCACCACCAAAAAGATACAGGGTAGGTATTTTCTGCTTTGCAGATGAATAGACTGAGGCTAGCAATATGCAATATCCCAATGCTTTTGTAAAGCTGGTAAATGGTGGAGTGAATTTTAAATCCTGGTGTTGATAGTGAACTTTTAGCTATGACAGCTATTGCTTCTAACTTATAATGCAATGGGTAAGCTCTCAAAGGAGGAGGAGTGAGGTCAGTGTAAACACAGACATGACTTCTAGCCTGTTTGTCTACAGAGCTGAGTGTATTCCACTTCTCTCCCATTGCCCTGAACTGCCTGAACCCAGAGAAGAAGCTGGTAGAGACACGCTCTTCCAACCCTCTCTGTGGCCTTGGGGTGGGGGGTGGGGTCCTGTACACATAAGCTTCTCTGTGTCACTGTGCCCTTTTTTTTGTTTTCTAGATAAAAAACCTCAACCATGGTTTTGCCAAACTGAAGGCACTCGTGCCATTTCTTCCTCAAAGCAGGAAGCCTAGCAAAGTTGACATTCTTAAAGGTGCAACTGAGTACATACAAGTTCTCAGTGATGTTTTGGAAGGAGCCAAAGACCTGGAGGTAAAGGTTTAAGCATTTAGAGCAATGGTAGCCACCATTTATTGAGCCTTTCTATGTGCCACACACTATGTAAAATAAGTTACGTATACTTTCCAGTTAATATTTATAGCAATCTTTTGAACTACTTATGATTTCCATTTGATAGAAGAGAAAACCAAAAAATAGGTAAAGGCTACACAGCTAAGAAGTGTCAGGACTGGTATTTGAATCTAGATCCTGATGAGCTTTGGAGTCAAGATCCTATCTTGACTCCATCTGTCTACTTCCCTCTTGTCACTGTCCAGAACACCTAGTTGTTAAGTTCTGAATCTTTAATAGGACCTAAGGTTGGGATATAAGAAGTTCCCACCAAAGCAGTTTGGAGTGAGTATTTCTTCCCTGTGAGCAGATCACCCATCAGTCAGAACAGAGAAAGGAGTTCTGGGATTATCCAATGGGATGATATAAACAAACCTAGTTTGTAACCTGTGAAGCACCAGAGTCACTACCAACATCAGAGGGGTTAGCTTAGAAGTGTCCAAGGCAGTGGGAGGTGTAACTGGTTTTATGGGATTATTTCACGGAGAGAAAAACATGGAAGGCTTGAAAATGGCTCTGTCATCAGGGGTGATAAGATATGAAGAGCAAAAAGGGCTTCAAAACCAGCCCTAAGCGATGCCATTAGCAAGAGGAAGTTATTAGAGAGGAGAAGGCAGCAGGGAAGTGGAGAGACAAGATGGGGCCATAAAGTTGAGGAGAAGAGCATCTTGGAAAACTAGGGGTGGGTGGTAGGAGATGCTACAGAGATGAAGGCCAAGACAGGAAACAACCAGGTCCAGCATTTGAAAAGTAAAGAGAAATGGGCTGGAAGTCAACTAATGGGAGGTGTAGGGTAAATGTGTGGGGTTCAATTGGAGGAAAGTGGTAAATTTTCAAGTCCATTCAACCTGGAAGTTTGAGAATGAAAAGAAGGGATCCAGAGAATGGGAGGAAGAAAACTGGTAGGTCAAAGTTCTTTTTAAAGTTCTTTTTAAAAGTTCTTTTTAAGAATGTGTGAAAACAATTCCATTTACAATAGCCTCAAAAAAAAATCAAATACCTAGGTGTGAACCTAACAAAAGATGTGAAAGACCTCTCCAAGGAAAACTATACACTTCTGCAGAAAGAGATTGAGGAAGACTATAGAAAATGGAGAGATCTCCCATGCTCATGGATTGGTAGAATCAATATAGTAAAAATGTCGATATTCCCAAAAGTAATCTACATGTTTAATGCAATTCCCATCAAAATTCCAATGACATTCATTAAAGAGATTGAAAAATCTACCGTGAAATTTATATGGAAACACAAGAGGCCACGAATAGCCAAGGCAATACTCAGTCAAAAGAACAATGCAGGAGGTATCACAATACCTGACTTCAAACTATATTACAAAGCAATAACAATAAAAACAGCATGGTACTGGCACAAAAACAGACATGAAGACCAGTGGAACAGAATAGAGGACCCAGATATGAAGCCAAACAACTGTTAACCAACTTGTCTTTGACAAAGGAGCTAAAAATATACGATGGAGAAATAGCCTCTTCAACAAAAACTGCTGGGAAAACTGGTTAGCAGTCTGCAAAAAATTGAAACTAGATCCATGTATATCATCCTATACCAATATTAACTCAGAATGGATCAAGGATCTTAATATCAGACCATAAACTCTAAAGTTGATACAGGAAAGAGTAGGAAATACTCTGGAATTAGTAGGTATAGGTAAGAACTTTCTCAACAAAACCCCAGCAGCACAGCAACTAAGAGATAGCATAGATAAATGGGACCTCATAAAGCTAAAAAGCTTCTGTTCATCAAAAGAAATGGTCTCTAAGCTGAAGAGAACACCCACAGAGTGGGAGAAAATATTTGCCAGCTACACATCACACAAAGGACTGATAACCAGAATATATAGGGAACTTAAAAAACTAAATTCTCCCAAAACTAATGAACCAATAAAGAAATGGGCAAGTGAACTAAACAGAACTTTCTCAAAAGAAGAAATTCCAATGGCCAAAAAACACATGAAAAAATGCTCAGCATCTCTAGCAATAAAGGAAATGCAAATTAAAACCACGCTAAGATTCCACCTCACCCCTGTTAGAATAGCCATCATTAGCAACACCACTAACAACAGGTGTTGGCGAGGATGCAGGGGAAAAGGAACCCTCTTACACTGTTGGTGGGAATGTAAATGAGTACAACCACTCTGGAAAAAAATTTGGAGGCTACTTAAAAAGCTAGATATTGATCTACCATTTGATCCAGCAATACCACTCTTGGGGATATACCCAAAAGACTGTGACACAGGTTACTCCAGAGGCACCTGCACACCCATGTTTATTGTGGCACTATTCACAATAGCCAAGTTATGGAAACAGCCAAGATGCCCCACCACCTACGAATGGATTAAGAAAATGTGGTATCTATACACAATGGAATTTTATGCAGCCATGAAGAAGAACGAAATGTTATCATTCGCTGGTAAATGGATGGATTTGGAGAACATCATTCTGAGTGAGGTTAGCCTGTCCCAAAAGACCAAAAATCATATGTTCTCCCTCATATGTGGACATTAGATCAAGGGCAAACACAACAATGGGATTGGACTTTGAGCACATGATAAAAGCGAGAGCACACAAGGGAGGTGTGAGGATAAGTAAGACACCTAAAAAATTAGCTAGCATTTGTTGCCCTTAATGCAGAGAAACTAAAGCAGATACCTTAAAAGCAACTGAGGCCAATAGGAAAAGGGGACCAGGAACTAGAGAAAAGGCTAGATCAAAAAGAATTAACCTAGAAGGTAACACACAAGCACAGGAAATTAATGTGAGTCAACTCCCTGTATAGCTATCCTTATCTCAACCAGAAAAAACCCTTGTTCCTTCCTATTATGGCTTATATTCTCTCTACAACAAAATTACAGATAAGGGCAAAATAGTTTCTGCTGGGTATTGAGGGGGTAGGGGGGAGAGGGAGGGGGCAGAGTGGGTGGTAAGGGAGGGGGTGGGGGCAGGGGGGAGAAATGACCCAAGCCTTGTATGCACATATGAATAATAAAATAAATAAAAGTTCTTTTTAAAGTATAGCAATGTAATCATATTTAGGAGCAGAAGGAGGAGATACTAGAGAGAAGAGAAAGGGCCATTCTAGAAATTTATGTATAGGATCTTCCTGCCTTCCTGCTGTCCTGCCTTCCTCCCTTCCTTCCCCTCTTCCTCCCTCCCTCCCTTCCCCTCTTCCTCCCTCCCTTCCTTCCCCTCTTCCTCCCTCCCTTCCTTCCCCTCTTCCTCCCTCCCTCCCTTCCTTCCCCTCTTCCTCCCTCCCTTCCTTCCCCTCTTCCTCCCTCCCTTCCTTTCTCCTTCTCCCCCTCTCTTTTTTTTCTCCTTATTTCCACTAGTCATACCCACGTGACTGACAGGAAGACATGTTTTGCAATGGCAAGAATGGATTGTCCTGTTGGCCAGTTTGGATGGTTTCATAGTGTTTGGACATGTGCAGGTGGCTACCTTAGTTTTAACTTGGTCTTAATTGTGCTGTGTTCAATATAAGAGATGGGATTTGTTTCATGCCACAATATTTTAAATTCAGTTGCCCATTGCACAATATTTTAAGGTTGTAGATGAATAAAATACAGTCCACTGACCAATACTTTTCTCTCCATAATAACTTGAGCATTGCCTTTGTTATTTAAATGAAACCTCATCAGTTAAATTTGAAATATATTGATTTAAGTCTTCAAAGTCTGCCTGTCATGTTATACTGTTTGACAATTAATATGGTTTCTAGAAACAAGACCTAGAGGAGCAAACCTATAGCAACGATATTTCTGAACCCCACATGTCCTTGGCTAGAGAGCTATCAAGAAACATCATCCAGCATACCAGCTGTGCCATTGGCCTCAAGAATGAAGAGGAAGGGCCCTGGTCAGATGGTGGCAGTGGTGAGCCAGTATGTGCCTGTTGCCAGAGCATGCCGCCTGTGACTGGAAGTTACTTCACCGACCAGGAGTCTGGTAAAGGATTTCTTTGTAAACAGCAGTGTAGATGCCAAAAGGCTCAACATGTACATCTTGGTATACCTCATACGCCATCTGTGTGGCAGTTTCCATGCTCAAATATGATTAAAACAAGATAATCTGGGAGAGGACCTGCCTGGGAAGATGGGGCTTGCTGGTCTCAAAGAAGATTATGTTCCTAAATTTAATTGGTAGGCAGCTCAAGGGGAAGGAAATTCCTCTGCAAGCGCACCCATACAGATGTAAGCCTATTTTTTTTTTAATGACCTTTATTTGACACATCAAAAGTCTTTCTGGACTCTGTAGTCTCCTAAAAAAGAAGTCAGTAGTTTGCATGCATGAAGATTCATGGCGATGCTTTTGCTACTTGGGGCAGGGGGCGGATTGTATGGGAACATTTTTCTAAGTAATAACAGTGCATTTTATTGTAATAGATCTTATTATTTTCTCACACTACAGAGGTAACTGGAAGTTAGCACGCTTCCAGAAGGTGGGCTTTTTGCCCTTGCTGTGGCTCAGCATTACAGGAATGAGTCATCTAGCTATACCCCCACCCTGTAACAAATGCCATTGAAATAAGAAAGGCTGGCAGGCCCCTGAACCAAGTCTCTGTCACAAGCATAGTGGGGACTGCAGAGTCATAAATAATGGCTAGTGAGAAGCAGTTTGAAATAGCAGTTGAGCGGAAGGTCTGGAGGCAGAGCGCTGAAATTCAAATCCTAATTTTAGCATTTGCTAGTTGTGTGACCTTACATGAGCTACTGAACCTCTCTGATCCTGTTTTTCCCATCTGTAGAATAGGAATAGTGATTGTATCTACCTTGCATATGAAATAACAATGAGGTTCAAATGACATCAGGAATGAAATGCCCAGCATGGTAGCTGGCATGTCCGTGTTCACTTGGGCAGGTATTATCACACTTGCTTGACTCACCGTGTGCAGTAGTAAGCCACCGGCATCCCAGCTCTGTTTGTTGGTTTTTATCATTTGGCTCTCACCAATTGTTCCACTCTGCTTTGAGGGCTTCATAGGCTTCCTGTTAGCCCAGCCAGCCTTGGCTTCCATTTTTTAATTACTGTTTTCCAAGGATTCTGTGAGTACATGTTCAGTCTAGATTTTCATATTCTAGCCACTTGAGATATAAACCTTCTCTTGCCAGTCAATCCTTAAGAGAAATTCTTTTTGCTACAACAAAAGAAAGCGAAGAAATGACCTGAGCTAGACTTTGACTATGGCTAAGTAAATAATATCAGTGCCTCCGCAAATGTTAGTGTTAATAAGTGCTAGATATTAAGGCAGGAATCAGACTAGTATTCAGTCCTCATTGATCCTCGTTACATAGGTGTCATCGTGCTGTTGTCACACTCTTACTATTCCTTTGAGCCCAGACAGGAACACCATAATGAGGATGAATGGGAAGTGCTTGTTTTCCAAGCATAATAGATCTTGGGATAGACCATTATACATCATTTTAAAGTGGGGACCCACATTTTCTATAAAGAATAGAAAAGTTCTCACTGGAATTTTCTTCAAAAAAGGTAGAAAGACAATTGTTAGTCTCTCTCTCTCTCTCATATATATATATGTGTGTGTGTGTGTGTGTGTGTATATATATATATATATATATATATATATATATATATATATGTCATTTTTTTGAGACAGGATCTTGCTTAGTCCAGGCTGGTTTGGAACACTTGATCCTCCTGTGTCAGCCTCCCAAATGCTGGGATTACAGGCCAACCATTTTTTAGACTTTTTAGCTAACCAAGTTGGTTGCTAATTCTTAGGCTGAACAATGAATCGCCTACTTGAGATATTTTTACATACTGAATGTGTCAAGGGTAATTTCTAAGGCCGATTTGTAAAGAGTGCCATTTTTGCAGAAGCACTGTAGGATTTCATCAGTCAAGGATTTCTCATCCTTTGATATTCAGATAATTCATTTTTAGAATAAAAAAATTCTGAAAGGTTAATCAACTTATAGAAGGTTGCAAGTAAAGTACAGAGAGCTTTGTTCTTACCTGTTTGAGAGTAAAAGTTGTCCTATCATCCCTATGTCAGCCTGTATTTCCTACACTCAGGGACATCCTCCTAACACAACCACCATACAACCACAAAGTCAGGAAATCAATGTCTTTGCATTGCTGCCACTCAGTCTGCAGGCCCCATTCATGTTTCAATAATAGTTCAATAATCCTTCCTATGCAAAAGACCCAGCTAGAATCACGAATTAGATCTAGGTGTCACATGTCCTTAGTTTCCTTCAGTATTGGTCTTTCTGTGGCTTTTATGACCTTGATAATTTTGAAGATCATAAGTCAGTTGTTTTGTAGAATGTTTCTTGAGCTGCCTTATCTGCTTCCTTCCAATTACATTCAGGCATGCATCTTTGGCAGGAATCTCAGGAGTGATGTGATATTTTTTTTTTCTATTCTTTGCATCCTATTAGATGGAGGACATTTTTCTTCTATTTCTGATATTCACTTTGATCAGTTGTTGAAAGTGATGACTATTAAGCTTCTCCACTTTAAAGTTAATCTTTTTCAGGCTGGAGACATGCTTAAGTGGTACAGCACTTAAGTAGTAAGCATGAAGACCTGAATTCAAACCCCATTACTACCAAAAAAATTTTCTTTTGTAATTAATACATATTTGTGAGGTGATGCTTTGAAATTACATAAATATCTCATTACTCATCAAACATTCTGTATTTACTTATTAAACTTTTTACTTTAAAATAATTATAGGTTCAATGGGAAGTTGCAAAGGTAGTAAAGAAAAGTATGGTGTACCTTTAACCCAGTTACCCCCAATGCTTACCATTATGGCTTGGATATAAAATGGTCCCAGAGGTTCATGTATTGAAAGTTTGGTCCTCAGCTGGTGGCACTATTGAGAGGTGATTGGATCAAGAGGAGTTAACCTCATCAGTGAATTAATTCCATTGATGAATGGTCTAGCAGGAGGTGGGGCCTGGTTGGAGGAAATGTGTTTGGAGGATATTTTGTTTCTGGACCCTTCCTGTCCGTCTCTTTGCTTCCTGGCTGCCATGAGGTGACTAACTTTCCCTATAATGTTTCTTCCTTGCCCTGGCCTAAAACTGTGAGCCAAAACAAATCATTTCTCCTTTAAATTGTTTCTTTTTAGGTATTTGTCATAGCAACGAAAGTCTAACACATTACCTTTCTGTTTGGCCTGTCATCACCATTGTTTGATCACTTCCTTTCTTGCATAGGAAGTTCCAATTCTTAAACTTTCCCACCCCTAGCCCTGGAATTGTTCATTCGTCTAAGGACATGCCTGTGAGTAATTCATCTCCCATCTCTGCAGCCATCTCTTCGCTATGGGGTTGTTCTCACCTTGTGGGCTTTATCAACTCTATATTTCACAAGAACCCTTACCTTGGCTCTAATGTTCCACCCAGGTATGCATGCTTCCTTAAGGATGGGTGCTGACTCACCTGCTTGGCATGGAGATCTCACTTTGGGGTACCATGGCTCCCCCTACTGAACTGTGACCCAACTACTGGCATTAGGACTAGATTGTTGAGAAAGGGGAAGGAGAAGGGAAATCATGTTTTCTTTAAACACCTGCTGTGCAGCCATCTTTCTGGCTAGTTTTCTCTGTTAACACATTTAACTCTGATCCTTATTTGCTTGTGAGTTGAGCAATCATTCAGCATCACTTTTATTGGTTTTAATAAAGGTTTATATCTTACAAACAGGAACCAGGGTAGGTACAAGACAAAGGGACCAAGGGAGTAATGTTCAGGTTAACCTATACTTGACAAAAGGATTCTCACAAGTGTTTAGCTCAGCTTACACAAAGGGTGACTATATAGAGTTTCAGAATTCTGGCCAGCTCCCCTGCCTGGAGACCCAGTGAGAGTCGGTGTAGCTCACTGGATTGACATGATCACCTGTAGATGGGCTTAGGATTTAGGAGGCAGGCCCTCCCCAGCTTCAGTTTGAGGAGTGGCACCCTTCTTCCTGCCTTTACAGAGGGACTGGGAAGTAGAATTCTTGGTGCTGGCAGGGATGGGCATTTTGGGGCATTTGGAGATGGGGTCAGAACAGTCTGTGCAAGGTCAACAACATTCCTGGGAGGCAGAATGCTGAGTGATGTACACAAGAATCTGCTGATGGCAGGGATGGAGATCAGCTTCTGGGGCCAGAGCAGCAAGTGTGCAGAGAGGGCTGTGAGCCACACAAAAACCCCATCTAGTCTTAGTAGGGTAAGAATTCACTTCAAGGTCTAGGAGAGATTGGAATTTCAAGGTATAGGTGTTGGCTGTCCTGCTATTGTTTATTCATTCTGTTTGTCACTTGTGACCGTGGCTTAGGCATCTCACATTATGCACAGCTTTGAACTTTGTTCAGAGTTGCCTGTGATACTGTAGGAATTATGTCCTTGACAAAGATCACCTTCAGTTTTGGGGTGGGATACCAAGAGAGTTGGGTTTGAGGGGCTTTGGAAAAGGATGTGTGAATGAACATAATTGTCTGGTACAGGAGCCTGGGTATGTTGCCAATATATGCTTCTAAATTTTGTGTGTCATAGGACTGTTCCTTGAAAGAATTTCTAAGAGAAGGAAGCTTACATGGATGGTGGATTCCTACTACTCTCTATACAAGTTGTTATAATCTGTGAAATTAATCTTTGGGAACATTTCATCTAATAGTTCTGAAATGAGGTGGCCTGACTAGTTGGGAGGAATGTACTCTGGGTAAGCCCTGGAGCCTCTTCCATCTTCCAGCTCACACCTGCCCAGGTGACTTTGTGTGATAGTAAAGGTTCTGCTATAGCAGTGAGTTACATTTAGGTTTTTTCAAGGGAAGTGCATTTATTTGCCTTAGGACTCACTGGTGACTGAGGGGGTATGATCTGAGGAGTTTAGTCAGCAGAGAGTTTTAGAAAACTGAATTTCCCTTTGGATGGGACTGGTGCTCTCTGGTTTGCTGGAGTCCTCCCCAGTCCTCATTGCGTGGCACTAGCACATCTCCCTGTTAGGAAACTGACTGTGTAGGTCTAGACTAAGGGTGTTGGGGCTCAGAGAAGACTTGTCCAGTCACTACATTTAGCTCTAGGATTTTATGTTTTTTTAAGCTTTGGGTTTTAGAAGATGGTATGTCTCTGCTTGTTGGTTCATGGACTTGGGAAAGGTGGCCATCCTGGGCATGCAGGACAGGATTATCACTTCTGGAATGATGTTCCCTACCTAGAAGAGGATGTCAGGGTTGCAGCTACTGAGAAAAACTCGATAGCCAAGGGATAATTTTAAGGCTCGAGTCTGCCTCAAGTTAAGAAGAAATGTTAAGAAAGGAGACAATTTCTATTTCTTTTGTGAAAGAATAAGAAAGGGGGATTCCCTTTGTTTAGAATTTAGTTTTTTTCTATGGGTAGAGAAGATTGAGTTCATCATGAATGTAGGTTCATGTGTTTTCTCTGTGTATACATTCACACATGTATGAAGTTTAGTGTTTTTATGACAAGAAGTCTTACCTTTTATGTGGCCTGAGTTTGTCAGTAAGCAGAACATTATTTGAAAAAGCCAATAATTTCTTCTTTTTTTCCCCTTCTCTACATATAATAGTCCTTACGGCAAAATTAATTGCAGTAAGTCCTTGTCTGTTTTATTGAACTTCTAGAAGGAACCTTTATATGAGATCATTAAAGGACCTTTAAAAGGCCTATCTTCTGGTGGAGTGGCTCAAATGGATCAGTACCTCCCTAGCAAGTGTGAGGACCTGAGTTCAAACCCCAGGAGCAGCCACCACCACCAAAAAATAGCCTATCTCATTGGCTCCAAGTATATACAGAGGAAAAAAGAAAATTGGATAGATGGATAGAAGGTCTCTTCAGAGTCAGGGACTTTTCTGATGTTCTTCTCTCTTTCCTTGAGATGGATGACTCTTTGGGTTAGTAGGAAACCACCAAATACTAGGATAGCATGAGCTAGCCCTAACCCCAGAGGAAGATCAGTGTGTCTTGCCACCTTCAATGTTCTTCCCTTATTCTAACTCCTGGGTGATCCAAAACAGATAAGGGATAAAGTAGACTTCAAGAACACTTCTTAATGGTAGAACTCCTAGTGGGAGAGCAAAGGGATTGTAAATTCAACTCCATTATTTTAGGGACTCTTTTGGTCCTCCTTAAATCACTCTTTCTTTTTGGAAAACTTTTCTTTCCTCAAATGTATCATTCTAGCTACTCTGGTGTAGAATACAGGCTCAAGATACCTGCCTCACTGGGGTGATCTGGGGTGAGGAACCAAGGAACAGAGTCCCCATGCATCATGTGATCAGGACTAGAACCCCAAGGGAAGAGAATGGGACTACATTGAGCTTGGTGGTTGTGATGCTGAATCTTGATTGTCAATTTGATTGGATTGAGATTAGTAAATTTACTAGGAGATTAGTAAAGCTATACCTATGTGTGTGTCTGTGAGGACATAGATCAGAGCCCTTCTCAGGGATCAGGAGCTTCTACACATTAGTTACAACCCCTGTAGATAAATATGTCCTGCTGTTTCAAATTTGCCTGCATGTTTGGTTGTTGGACGACTTCCTGACATCAAATCTTATCCCCCACATAAGGCATATACCTTCATTATTCTTTCAAATAAAGCCTTGCTTTTCAGACTATTGTGATGCTGGGGACTGAACTCTAAAGCTGAGTGAACAAAGACTTCTATCTACTTCCATATCCCTTACCAAGTCTTGGTTCAGTGGATGAACAAAAAGTACATTGGATATGTCAAATTGTCCAGCTCTACAACCAACAATGGAGTGTACCCCATTATTAAGGAAATTAGGCAGCAAGTTGGATTTTTATTCCTCAGAATTCCCCCTTCTTGAACCTTAAACTTTTTGTCTTAGATGAGGCCAATAGTCATTTTTTTAGTGAATGGAGACATTGAAGACAACATTGATAAACTTCGAGTCTTCCTATTCCAATGCCAGACACTGCTCCTGGCACTTTATATGTAGGAATATTTAATTCTTATAACCACTTTGTGATATACAATCAGTCATGTCCATTTTACACATGAGAAAACTAAAAGAACAGAAATAACTTGTCCCATATCCAGCATGTCAATGAAGTGTTGTAGTTGAGATGGGTAAGTAGTGTTAAATCCTTTGCAACCAGGTTTGTTCTAATAGAACTCAACCTTGAAATGTGAGAGTGGGCCAGAAAATAGATAAAAATTTAAATGTAAAATTAAAGCATTTAGCAACAGTGTTTTATCATCCACAGCCATATATTAGTAGGTTCCAATATCTGAGTCACCCAACTATTGTTTGAGCCTTTATTATTCTGTATTGGGTTTGGTTTTTATTCCAGTTGAGATTTCAGAAAATCCTAACTACTCTAGTAAAACCTCTACTGGAAATCTAATAAAATGCTTCATGTTTTTCCTATGTAACTAAATTTAGAAACTACTATAGGATATATACCACTGTGTGTCCTGTTTTTAATTTTTCTAGGAAAAATTAAATGTTTAGATGACCCATTAATTGGGACAGTTTTTTTTTTTTCTTAAAAAGATAGTCTCCCTATGTTACCAAAGCTGATCTCAAATTCCTGAGCTCAAGTGATCCCCCTGCCTCAGCCCCCTCAAGAAGCTGGGCTATAAGTGTGCACCACTGTGCTCAGATGTACAGTTTTCTAATTGTTGAACACTTGTCTTCATCTTTTTGATCTTATAAATATTGCAAATAACCTGACGTGTTTAGACTTTTCTGTATTTTGCATTTTTTTTTCCAGGATAGGTTCTCAGAAGTGAAGCAATTGAGTCACAGGTAGGTACCTTCCATGACTTGATGCATGGTACCAACTTATAATGCCACCAGCAACAAACATGTGCTGAGTTCATGGAATTCTTGCCCAAAATAATAGGTATTAAAATTGGTAAAAACGGTATCTTTAAACATCTTTGATTTTACTTTTTTGGGGGGTACTGGGGATCAAAACCAGGCCTCATGCATGCTAGACATGTGCTCTACCACTGACTTACACTGTCAGTCCCCATATTTCTTTATTAGTTGTAGTTCTTTCATGAATTATGTGTTCTCATCATCTAGAGGTTTATAATGGACTTTTTTTCTCTATTTCAGACTCCCACAAGTATGAAAGTGAAGAGGCCCAAGATTCTCTTCTAGAGACAAATAAATGTAGTCCTGAAAGTTTCAAAGTCTTTTTTTTTTTTTATTTTTATAGTTCAGTTTGATGGTTATACTTTTTTTTTCTTTTATTATTCATATGTGCATACAAGGCTTGGTTTATTTCCCCCCTGCCCCCACCCCTCCCTTACCACCCACTCCACCCCCCCCCCTCCCCCCTCAATACCCAGCAGAAACTATTTTGCCCTTATCTCTAATTTTGTTGTAGAGAGAGTATAAGCAATAATAGGAAGGAACAAGGGGTTTTGCTGGTTGAGATAAGGATAGCTATACAGGGCATTGACTCACATTGATTTCCTGTGCGTGGGTGTTACCTTCTAGGTTAATTCTTTTTATCTAACCTTTTCTCTAGTTCCTGGTCCCTTTTCCTATTGGCCTCAGTTGCTTTAAGGTATCTGCTTTAGTTTCTCTGCATTAAGGGCAACAAATGCTAGCTAGTTTTTTAGGTGTCTTACCTATCCTCACCCCTCCCTTGTGTGCTCTCGCTTTTATCATGTGCTCAAGTCCAATCCCCTTGTTGTGTTTGCCCTTGATCTAATGTCCACATATGAGGGAGAACATACGATTTTTGGTCTTTTGGCCAGGCTAACCTCACTCAGAATGATGTTCTCCAATTCCATCCATTTACCAGCGAATGATAACATTTCGTTCTTCTTCATGGCTGCATAAAATTCCATTGTGTATAGATACCACATTTTCTTAATCCATTCGTCAGTGGTGGGGCATCTTGGCTGTTTCCATAACTTGGCTATTGTGAATAGTGCCGCAATAAACATGGATGTGCAGGTGCCTCTGGAGTAACAGTCTTTTGGGTATATCCCCAAGAGTGGTATTGCTGGATCAAATGGTAGATCGATGTCCAGCTTTTTAAGTAGCCTCCAAATTTTTTTCCAGAGTGGTTGTACTAGTTACATTCCCACCAACAGTGTAAGAGGGTTCCTTTTTCCCCGCATCCTCGCCAACACCTGTTGGTGGTGGTTTGCTGATGATGGCTATTCTAACAGGGGTGAGGTGGCTTAGTGTGGTTTTAATTTGCATTTCCTTTATTGCTAGAGATGGTGAGCATTTTTTCATGTGTTTTTGGCCATTTGAATTTCTTCTTTTGAGAAAGTTCTGTTTAGTTCACTTGCCCATTTCTTTATTGGTTCATTAGTTTTGGGAGAATTTAGTTTTTTAAGTTCCCTGTATATTCTGGTTATCAGTCCTTTGTCTGATGTATAGTGGCAAATATTTTCTCCCACTCTGTGGGTGTTCTCTTCAGTTTAGAGACCATTTCTTTTGATGAACAGAAGCTTTTTAGTTTTATGAGGTCCCATTTATCTATGCTATCTCTTAGTTGCTGTGCTGCTGGGGTTTCATTGAGAAAGTTCTTACCTATACCTACTAACTCCAGAGTATTTCCTACTCTTTCTGTATCAACTTAGAGTTTGGGGTCTGATATTAAGATCCTTGATCCATTTTGAGTTAATCTTGGTATAGGGTGATATACATGGATCTAGTTTCAGTTTTTTGCAGACTGCTAACCAGTTTTCCCAGCAGTTTTTGTTGAAGAGGCTGCTATTTCTCCATCGTATATTTTTAGCTCCTTTGTCAAAGATAAGTTGCTTATAGTTGTGTGGCTTCATATCTGGATCCTCTATTCTGTTCCACTGGTCTTCATGTCTGTTTTTGTGCCAGTACCATGCTGTTTTATTATTATTGCTTTGTAATATAGTTTGAAGTCAGGTATTGTGATACCTCCTGCATTGTTCTTTTGACTGAGTATTGCCTTGGCTATTCGTGGCCTCTTGTGTTTCCATATAAATTTACAGTAGATTTTTCAATCTCTTTATGAATGTCATTGGAATTTTGATGGGAATTGCATTAAACATGTAGATTACTTTTGGGAGTATAGACATTTTTACTATGTTGATTCTACCAATCCATGAGCATGGGAGATCTCTCCACTTTCTATAGTCTTCCTCAATCTCTTTCTTCAGAAGGTATAGTTTTCCTTGTAGAGGTCTTTCACATCTTTTGTTAGGTTTACACCTAGGTATTTGATTTTTTTTGAGGCTATTGTAAATGGAATTGTTTTCATACATTCTTTTTCCGTTTGCTCATTGTTAGTGTATAGAAATGCTAATGATTTTTCTAGTTGCTATAGCTTATTGATGATGTCTAAGCAGCTTCTGAGTAGAGTTTTTTTGGGTCTTTAAGGTATAGGATCATGTCGTCTGCAAATAGGATATTTTGCCAGTTTCTTTTAACCTATTTGTATTCCTTTTATTCCTTCTTTCTTGCTAATTGCTCTGGCTAGGAATTCCAGTACTATGTTGAATAGGAGTGGAGATAGTGGGGCATCCTTGTCTGGTTCCTGATTTTAGAGGAATGGTTTTAATTTTTTCTCCGTTAAGTATAATGCTGGCTGTAGGTTTTTGTCATATATAGCTTTTATAATGTTGAGGAACTTTCCTCTATTCCTAGTTTTCTTAGAGCTTTTATCATGAAATGATGTTGATCTTATCAAAGGCTTTTCTGATCTATTGAGATGATCAAGTGGTTTTTGTCTTTCTCGTTATGTGGTTTATTACGTTTATGATTTTCGTATGTTGAACACCCCTGCATCCTGGGATGAAGCTACCTGGTCGTGGTGCATAATCTTTTTGATGTGTTGCTGAATTCGATTGCCATTATTTTGTTGAGGATTTTGCATCAATGTTCATTAAGGAGATTGGCTATAGTTCTCCTTTTTGGAGGTGTCTTGCCTGTTTGGATAAGTTAATAGTGGCTTCATAAAATGTGTTGCAGTTTTCTTCCTTTCTATTTCATGGAACAGTTTAAGGAGGTTGGTATCAGTTCTTCTTTAAAGGTCTGATAGAATTCAGCAGAGAATCCATCAGGTCCTGGATTTTCTTTTGGGAGACTCTTGATTGCTGCTTCAATTTCATTTTGTGTTATAGGTCTATTCAGGTGATTAATTTTCCTCTTGGTTCAGTTTGGATGATCATATGTATCTAGAAATCCTGTCATTTCTTTAGATTTTCAAATTTATTTGAATATAGGTTCTCAAAAGTAGTCTCTGATGATTTCCTGGACTTCCATGGTGTTGTTGTTATCTCCCTTTTGCATTCCTGATTCTACTAATTTGGGTTTTTTCTCTCCTCATTTTAGTCAGGTTTGCCAGGGGTCTATCGATCTTGTTTATTTTTTCAAAGAACCAACTTTTGTTTCATTAATTCTTTGTATGGTTTTTTTTGGTTTCTATTTCGTGATTTCAGCTCTTATTTTTATTATTTCTCTCCTTCTATTTGTTTTGGATTTGTTTGTTTCTGTTTTTCTAGGAGTTTGAGATGTATCATTAGGTCATTGATTTGGGATCTTTCAATCTTTTTAATATATGCACTCATGGCTATAAACTTTCCTCTCAAGACTGCCTTAGCTGTGTCCATAGGTTCCCGGTAGGTTGTGTTTTCATTTTCATTGACTTCTAGGAACTTTTTAATTTCCTCTTTTATTCATCGATGATCCATTCTTCATTAAGTAATGAGTTATTTAGTTTCCAGCTGTTTGCATGTTTTTGTCTTTACTTTTGTTGTTGAGTTCTACTTTTACTGCATTGTGGTCAGATAGTTATGCCATGGTATTATTTCTATTTTCTTATATTTGCTGAGGCTTGCTTTGTGCCCTAGGATAATGACTATTTTGAGAAGGTTCCATGGGCTGCTGAAAGAATGTATATTGTGTAGAGGTTGGATGAAATGTTCTGTAGACATCACTAGGTCCACTTGATCTATTGCATATTTTAGATCTTGGATTTCTTTATTGAGTTTTTTGTTTGGATGACCTATCTATTGATGATAATGGAGTGTTAAAGTCTCCAACACAACCACTGTGTTGGCGTTTATATATGCTTTTAGGTCTTTCAGGTATGTTTGATGAATTGGGTGCGTTGACATTGGTGCGTACAGATTGATGATTATTATTTCCTTTTGTCTATTCCCCTTTGATTAGTATGGAATGTCCTTCTTATCTCCTCGTTGATCAATGTAGGTTTGAAGTCTACTTGTCAGAGATAAGTATTGCTACTCTGCTTGTTTTCGGGGGCATTGGCTTGGTAAATCTTTCTTCCAGCCTTCATCCTAAGCTATGCTTATTTCTGTCGGTGAGATGAGTCTCCTGTAAGCAACAAATTGTTGGATCTTCTTTTTTAATCCGGTTTTTTGTCAAACGGTGTCTTTGATGGGTGAATTAAGTCCATTACATTAAGGTTAGTACTTGATAGGTATGTGGTGATTCTGCCATTTAGTTATCTTAGTTGTTTGAAGGTTTGATTGTGTGTACCTAACTTGATGTTACTCTCTACTGTCTTGCTTTTCTTATTCCTGTGGTTTGGTGCTGCCTGCCTTTTCATTGGTTAAGTTGGGTGTCACTTCTGTGTGCAGATCCCTTGCAGAATCTTTTGTAATGGTGGCTTTGTGGTCACATATTTGTTTTAGTTTCTGCTTATCATGGAAGACTTTTATTGCTCCATCTATTTTGAATGATAGCTTTGCTGGGTAGAGTATCCTGGGTTGAAGTTATTTTCATTCAGTGCCCGGAAGATCTCA